TTCGGCACTGCGCTCCTGGCCGCCACCCCCACCCCCCGCCCCAAGCCCCGAGCCGCACCAGGCACTGCTGGGAGCCAGCCCTAAGCCCGTGGTGGGCCCGGGGCAGACTCACCGGACTGCCCCGCTCCAGGACTGGTCCGGCCCTGGCCCACAGGTCCAGCTCTGCCTAGCACTGTGTGTTCCCACTGCTCTGGAAGCCGCGTGAGGCTTGGGGGGCCTGGAGGGTGGCGTCGGCGCAGGGCCTGTGGGCGGCAGCGTTCTTCCTGGCACTCGGAATCTCGCGGCCGGCAGATCGGTCCGGTCTCAGCTGGAGCCACAGCGCTGGCGTGATCTCGCTCCTCCTCACCCACGGAAGCCACGTCTGTCCTGACGCCCAGCGCCCTGTGGGCATGTTCCACTGAGCCGCTGGCTCGCGTGGACCTGGGTCCCCACCCTGCAGGCCTTGGGAGGCTGTTGCAGGGTCTTTCCAGCAGTAACTCAGGAAAGCGAACAGGACAGACGCGAACCCTGCCTCCAGGGTCCGGCGCGGTCTCGGGGCCATTACGTTCCTGGTGGACACACCGGGGGTCCACGCCTGACACGCACCAGAGTAGGGACGCCGCCCTCCCAACGCCCGCCCTGCCCTGCCGTCTCAGGCTCCCGGCCCCTCCGCGTGCTCACGTTCACGTTGGAGGGCGCGACCCCGAACCCTGATGCCGACAGTGTGTTTACCATTCTCGGGCCGTTTGAGGGTTACTGACCCTGTGTTTGACGTGGAAACAGACGCCGTCCACGCGGCACAGCGCAAAACGTCCTAAATATCTCGATGCATCTGAAGTTTGTAAAAGGGCGTGGGCGCCAGCCGCCTCTGCCGGGGAGAGGGCCGGGAGGGGCAGGTGGCCTCCGGGTCCCTCTGTCACCGCGGATCCATGATGCGTGTTTTCTCAGCACCTTCTGCGGCGGGGAGTTGGAAGAGAAGGTGAAACAGCACATCCGACGGACGCACGAACAAAGGAAAAGACGTCGGGGCGCGGCCCCCCTCGAGGGCATCAGGAAGGCCACGGAGGACCCGGAGATCGTAAGTACTCGTCCGCTCTCGGTGGAAATCAGCTGTTCCATTGAAGCCTGAAAGGAGCTTGCTGTGCCGTTTCAGAGCCTGCGGTCTCTAGGTGTGGGGGACGTTTAATGTGCTCTCCGGCGGGGCGTCCCCAGAATTCCTGGTGGTCAGAGGGTGAGATGCTTTTCTGCGTCGTGAGCCCTCAGGTGTGTGGCGCCCCCCGCTGGGGCGTCGGCAGAGGCGGGGCAGAGCCTGGGGGGCTGCGCAGTTGCCACCGAGGACAAGGACGCCACGGCGGGGACCGCGGGGTCTTCTCGCCCGCTGCCGGCAGCATCCGTCCCTCCCACCGTGTCCGGGAATGTCCGGGCCATGTGCCTGGTGCAGCAGTGGAGGAAGAGCCTTTCCACCCCGGACGACACGCGGTCAGCCCGCCCAGTGCTGCGAGGGTCCCGGGCCTCGCCGAGCTCCTGGAGCCGCCTGCTGACACGGCGCGCCCGGAGGCCGTGGGGAACTGGCCCGTCTGTCCCCCAGACAGCTGGACGCTGGCCCGTGGGGAGCGTGCTCCATCTCACCTGGTGTGGAAGCTGGAGCCCCGTCCCCACAGCCCATGTGAGGACTCTGCACCACTGTCCCTTCTCCCCCGGGGGCCAGGTGCCTCCCGCCAGTCGAGAGCGGGGAGGGCCGTCTCTGGGGAAATCAACTGGCCAAGGCCAGTGACTTGAGGACTCCAGTACTTGGGCGCCCCCAGTCCTGAGCTGAGCAGCAGGGGCGCCTCCCCACGGAGAGCTCCACCCACCGACGTCCTCAGTGCTGACCAGTGGTGTTACTGCCTCGTTCCCGAGCACGAGCGAGAGCCCAAGTCACCAGCTTAGGGGAGAGGCCCCGTGTGGGGACGGGCCAGGCGGACAGCGGAGGGCGCGTTCGGAAGAAACGCGGTCGTTGGGGAAACAATCGAAATCTCCCAGGAAGCAACTTACTGAAATGGAAAAGACCACTGAGCAGTCTGGGAGTTAAGTTGAAAGTATGGCAAAAACCTTTAAAAATTAAAATAAATCCACAGGCGGATTTGAGTAGCCCCCCACGAAGCAGGACAGAAAGGAAGGGGGGGCAGACCAGAGCGAGGACCCAAGACTCCCCTCGACTGACGCACAGGAGATGCAAGGGCATGTGGGGGGGCTGACAAAACACGGGGTGAGGGGGTCCCCGTGTGCCGTGTGCACCGGGCATCCTGCGAGGTTCCAGCCAGGGGCCAGGACGGAGGCCGGTACAGCAGCACGGCGGTGGCCCTCGCCCGCAGCCTGACGGAGCTCTGAGCTCGGTGCCGGGCCGGGGCCAGCGTCGAGGAAGGACTCAGAAACGTCACTCTGTACAGCCCGTTTCTGGAACCTTCCACAGAGTGCGTTCTCCCAGACAAGGGGCTGGACGGGGAAAGGAAGTGCCCGCCAGGACAGGCCGGCTGTGCGCGTGCCGGGGCCAGGCGGAGCCCATGGGGCCTAGAGGGTGTCCCCAGCGTCTCCGGCCAGTCCGCGGACGCCGAGGGCTTGCCGTCTGGGAGGACTCGGGCAGGTGTGTACAGAGCAAAGTAAATGCTTGTAATTCCTCAAAGAATACAGCTTTTTAGGACAAGGTAGCCGGCGGTCAGCAACATTATGTGGTCACTCCGACGAGAACCCTGCACTGGTAACAGGCCTGTGCAGGCGGGAGCCTGGGTAGGGGTCCGGCCTCTGCTTCAGGGAGACGGCTGAGGGGGAGGGGCCCTCTTTGGGGACCGGCGGTCCTGGCATTAGACACAGAACCCACTGGCCGGCTCCTCGGGGGCAGAGGCAGGAAGACCCGCTCCTTGCTGTTGGCCGCGGACCCACCCGGGGCCAGCTCCCGGCCTCACTTCCTCTCACCACGTCCTGGCCCCACGCGTCGGCCTGGGCACAGGGGCCTCGGACGGAGGCTTGGTGGTCCCCTCCACGGCACGGCCACCAAGTCCTGCTGCCGCGGCTCTGCGTCTCGGGGGACCACAGTCTCGGTGCCGGCCGTGGCAACGTGAGCAGGGGTCCCGTCTCTCTCGTCCATTCACTGACTGTGCAAAGGACACCAGGGGACCCTGGCGGGGAGGTCACTGTCCTCGGAGGGGCGTCAGGCATGGGGCACGGGCCGTGCACCGAGTGAGCGCCTCTGGGAAGGACCCGGGCCCCGCAGGACAGCACCGCCACCTCCGCAGCATCGGGTGCCACCGCGGCCCCGCCAGCCCGCCTGACTCTGTCCCCCCTCTCCTCCCAAAGGCCAGAAAGCTGCAGGACGAAGCAGTGGGACTGAAGCCGGCACCGGCCCTGGGCAGGAGCCGTCGCCTGCCAGCTCTCACCGGGAGCCGCCCTGTGTGTCCACCTGCGGGCCCGTCTCGGAACGGGTTTTTTAACACGAAACATTAAGAATCTGAAGAAGTTCGTGGAGACCGATGACCCGGTGTCGCGCGTGCCGGCGGGAGCCTTCCTGGGCCTGAGAGAGGCGCCCGGTGCGCCGTTCCCCTCCTCGGAGGTCATCTCATGCGTGCGGGGGGACGTCGGGACTCAGCTTATCCTAACGGTGTGGTCTGCAGACAGCCTGTGTTTTCTGCGGCTGCAGCGGTTAAGCCGCATTGACAGAGAGAGAATACAGCCAGGGGGCCACCGTCTTCATGCCCGGGGCGTGTGTCTTCCCGTGCTGGTGACGATGTGGGCACGGCCCTGCTCCCCTCCCCCACCCCTGCTCCGGCCACAGAACGACCGTCGCTTTCGTCGGCTGATTGATTTCCGCGCGGGGGCAGGCGGGTGCCCGATTCCCACCAGGACCGAGGTCCACTGGTGTCCTTCCTGCCGGAGAGGGTGCCCACCACAAGGGGCCTGGGCGAGCTCACTGTCCTTCCCGCTGGCAGTGTGGTCTCCTCTGATCTCCGCCCTTCCTGCCTGCGGACAGCGAAGTCCAGCCAGGGCACAGAGCCCGGACCCCCCCGTCACAGACCGGCCCCCGCGCACATCCTCTCGCAGGCCGTTCGGACTCCGTCTGACTCGGTTTCCCTCTGCACGGGCGGCTCCCGGGCCCCGTGGCCTCCCGCGCCGCGGGCTGCACCCCCTCTGCCCCCCTCTCCGGCCGCCAGCAGCCCTGTGACCTCTGGGCTGGGGTCTCCGGCCGCGGCAGGAACCCTGCCCGCCCTGCCCAGAGGGGAGCCCCACTCACGCCGACCTGTTTCAAAAGGCGCTTTGCCCCAACGGCCGTTCCTAGGAGCAGCGTGTGGGGGAAGCCGGAGGCCGCTGGCCGGAGGGTTCGAGGGCCGGCGGAGACTCTGTGAGGGCGACGCACCATTCTACTCCGCCAGCTGCGTGTCCGCCGGCTGGTTCTGCTGGTTCGTTCCAGGCGCAGTCATTAGTCTCGGGCGTGGCGCGCTTTCCATCCCATGAGCGGTGACGGTCCGCTGCCCTTCCTCATAACCAGGGCGTTTTTCCCTTAATTTTTTGAAATTTAAATGTCATCTCTTCTCCATGCTCCCAAAGCCCATCCTTTCCCTTCCCGCCCCTGTCCCGTCCACTGCCTCAGATGAGGCCGTTACAATGTCTCCTCTGCCCCTTACCTATGGCCATGTGACAAACCAGTGGCTCAAACAGCAGCCACTTTGTGATCTCACATGGCTGGACAGGGCCGTCCCCGATGGCCGTCCCACAGGCCTCGTGCCCTGGCAGGGCCACCTGGGAGGCGCCCCCCGCCCCCTCCTGGCGCCTCCATGTGGCCCCCTCCAGCAGGGACCCCACCCGCATCCAGGGCAGCTCGGCTGTGAGGGTGCAGAGCGGGCTGGACCTGCTCAGGCTTAGGCCGAAGGGAGCAGGACACCGCTTGTCACCACGGGGAGCTCTTGCCCCTCGGCCCTGGGGCTGCACTCCCCGGCGAGGGCACCTCAGGCAGGACACGGCCTGGGCACATAGCTACTGCTATGGCCTGCAGGGTGGGTGGCCGTCCTCACCCACTCGCTCAGATTCTGCCCATCTGTGTGACTGTTACGGGAGAGGTCAGCTTCTGGCCAAGCAGGTCGAATCACCACGGAGGAGGTGTCTCTCTCCAACACTAGGACATTGAGGGCCTGGACAGGTGCCTGGGGTCCCGGGAGCCTTTGGAGGGGGTGTCACGAACCCACATGGAGCAGCACGTGCTCTGGACTTCTCAGTGAGCCACCCCCAGCTCGGGCATGCTACACTTCTGACTGTCACGGGGAGCAGGTTCCTCTTCAGGTTCAGGACAGGGAGGGCCGTGGGTCCCCCTTCTACAGCCTAGGCAACGATTCCAGAACGAGCCGCACTCGCTCAAGGGCTGGCAACCTCAGGCGCTAGGTCTGGGCCTGCAGGGTGCGGGGCCACCGCAGCCAGCCACCCGCTCACGGGCCGGGAGGAGGCAAGAGGGCGCAGGCTGTGGGGTGGGGTGGGGCAGGGCGGCCGAGGCAGCTCGCTAGGGGGCGCCAGCTCCTCCCAGCCCACCCGACATCTCCACTTGCCTGGGCAGACGCTGCAAGGGATGTGGCACAGGTTTGCGGTTCCAGACCGGCCCTGACCATGGCCCAGGGCCTGAGGACCCCGCCACTGGCCCAGCTGCGGAGAGAACCGTGCTGCTGCCACCTGCGAGGAAAGCCTGGTCACCCCCGCTCTGCCCTGGCCCAGGAAGGGCCTCTCAAGGGCCTCTTCTCCCTTCCAGCCACTGCCCGGCACAAGCATCAGGGCCCACCTGGCTCTCACCACCTGTGGGCCCAGCCGCCAGCTCCGAGGAGCTCTCTGGTCTCATCCCTGGCTCTGGCCCTTTGGCCTGGCAGCTTTGGTCCCATCTCAGAAGCACCTGGCTGTGCTGCAAGAGACCCACCCTCCGGGCCAGCCCCAGGGAGCTCTAGTAAGAGGAAGTGGGAACAGGCCCAAGTATGCGAAGGGGAGGGGGCAGGGTGGCGGACACGAGCCGCCTGGCCAGGCAAACCCAGAACAGGCCAGGTGACCGTGGCGGCCTTCCCGTCACAGGTAGGCCCCCGTGAGTCTCCCATCTCGTGGGAGAGACAGGACGAGAGATGACAGTGTGATCGCGCACCCAGAGCAGGTGCTGGGCAGGGCTGGGCAGGCTCTCCTGTGGGTTAGGGACCAGGAGGAGGGACTGGAGGGGGTGGGGCTAGTGGGGCCAGGCTGCTGTGGGGGTGAAGCCAGCAGCACTTCGAGGACCAGGACTGAGGGGAAGTAGACACAGCGCGGAACCCTGACTGGAGCATCCCTAACACCTTGCCAGCCCTCCTGCCAGCTCATGGTCACCCAGCTCAGCCAGCCTCGCTGAAGGTGCTGGACGGGCCTCCTGTCCCCTCCACACCACCACCTTGCCCATCTGACCTGGCGGGCCAGCCCTGGTCACACCAGCAGTGCTCAGCGCAGGCCGAGCCCATGGCCAGGTGCTGGGCAGGCCTGGCTGTGGTGCCGTGGCAGGGTGTGAAGTACCCTGGGGCGAAGTCCGGAGCCCTGGGGAGGGGCTCTAGGCCCTGTTTTCCCCCACCTGGGTCACTCTGCAGCCCCTCCCTAGTCCCCCAGGCAGCCCTGGGCCCCTCACAGCCCAGCTCGCAGCTACTAGGTTCCTGGAATGTTCTATCCAGGACCGGCTGGTCCTTTGGGGGGACACTAGAGGAGACCGGGTCAGTACAGAAGTGGCCTGCGGGGATCAGCACCTCTGAAAGACATCTGCATCTTCGCCAGGGGCTCCGGAAACTCCCAGGGCCTTCTAGAAACAAGGGGGCTGGAAGGAGCAGGAGGCGGGGCTGGGCTGCTGGGCGGGGCCCTAAGCAGACACCTTTAAACTGCAAATCCGTGTCTCTGTCCATCAGTCCATCCGTCCACTCTTTTATCTTCTGCCTGGTAGACAGGATTGTGAAATGGCTTCCAAGTTCACGTACAAAGCCCACAGCACAGATGGGGTCAAGGCTGAGGGGGACCAGGAGGAGCACTCTCCCAAAGCCCAGCCTGTCTTCAGGTGCACCTGTCCCACCCACCTCCTCTACCCAGCAAGCCCCCCACCTCACGCACCAGGACTTCTAGAGGGTCCCCTTCTTTGCACCCCCTGCACCCACTACTTCGGCCCTGCCAGCTAGCATGCTCGCGCTGCCCCCACTGCCACGTGGGGCCTCCTCCCCCTCTCCCAAGCACCATCACTCCCGGCACCCCCATTTACACACAGCCCGCTGCACACAGCCGGGCTGACTCGAACCCCAGCTCCCTGGTCCGTGGCGCTGTCTGTCCGCAGTGCCCAGGAAGGACAGTGCCCAGCAGACACCTGCAGGCCCATCGGCACTTGTGCTGAGCTGGCGGGCGGCCTCTGGCCAGCCCTCCCAGCCGATGCCAGCTGAGGTCCCTGTTGCCTGGCCCCTTTGCTCCAATGTCAGCCCACCCAGCTCTGGAAGGGTGAAGCGGGGCAGGGGCTGCAGCCGTCTGTGGGTACAGACAGCAGTCGGGCCTCTTTGGGGGCTGAGCTGTCACAGGTAGGGGTTGGCTGACCCTGGAGA